GCCCCTTTTCCGTACCCCATACTGCAAAGTGCCATTGATGGATACCTTTTGCACCTGGAACGACCCCTTAAACGCTGTCGCGGCGACTATCCCGTACGCGAAATAGTTGAGAACTGCTGACGTGGACCTTTTGCACCTGGAACGGCCCCGTAAACGCTGTCGTGTCGGCGGAGTGAATGTGCAGGGTACTAGGGTGAAAAGAATTGCTGCAAAGACGTCCCCTCTACTACATTTTTGTAGGCTCCTGGCCTTTGCCTTTGGAGACATCGTCGGCGAACTGAATGCGCAGGGCGAAAAGAATTGCTGCAAAGACGTCCGCTCTAGGCCTTTGGAGACATCGTGGGAACTCCTTCCGGTACTATACAAACTGCTGACATGGCCGTGGACATGTACATGGAGAGTCATGGTGGGACTTCATGTACATGGATACATGGTGGGAATTCCTTCCGGCACCCCGTACCGCAAAGCCAACGGTGGGGAAGGAGAAGTGCAGACGTCTAGGAAGACGAACGAGGAGGAGCCAGGACGAGCGAGCAATGGCAGGACTAGCTGGACCGTAAGTAATAGCTGAATTGTGCATGACAACTTGACACCCATGCGGCACTCGCCACTTGCCACTGCATATTTCTTGTCCACTAACAATGTCTCTCCTCTGCCCCCTGTGTGTCCACGGCCCTGTTTCTGAATTGTCCCGATGAATCGAATGTCTTCCGCAACTGGAACGGCCCCGTGAACGCTGTCGCGTCGGCGACTGAATGCGCAGGAGGGAAAATATTGCTGCGAAGACGTCTCCTCTAGACGACGGTAAGGCACCCCATTGATATGTTGCCAGTGTGTGCCAGGGTATCGCGCGATGGTGAATGAGGAATGATGAAGGGTACGGTGGGACTGTAGACCTGTTACTTCGAAGTACCTTCTACTAACACGTTATCAGGTGGAGAGTGTCTTGTACTCACGTTATCAGGTCGAGAGCGTATTGTAGTCACTCTCTCTATTCCTGTACTTCATTACGTTTAAGGTGTACGTATATACTTCTCAAAAAAATTTAATGGTCCACAGTCGTGTCGGAAGGGTACGGTGGGACTGTAGACATGTTACCTTCTAACACGTTATCAGGTGGAGAGTGTCTTGTACTCACGTTATCACTATATCAGGTCGAGAGCGTATTGTAGTCACTCTCTCTATTCCTGTACTTCATTACGTTTCAGGTGTACGTATAACTTTTCCAAAAAATTTAATGGTTCACGTCCTCAGATAGAGAGCGTATTGCACCCACTGTCTAGTCTCTGTAGTGCATTGAGATTTTGTTGATCGAACATGAAATGGATACACAGACAAAGCCAGGCCAAATACATGGCGAGATGTCGCCAGAAGAACGTCTTCAGGTAGAGAGCGTATTGCACCCACTGTCTAGTCGATTTTGTGGATCGCACATGAAATGGATACACAGACAAAGCAGGCCAAGTACATGAGAGAGTGGACGATGTGCAGATCGACACGGCCTGCGGGTACTTCATTAAAGTTACCCGTGACATAACTAGGATAAAAGTTAATCACTGTAAAAACATTGCCAAGTATGTGAGCACTTTGGACTTGACAGAAGAGTGCACGGGCGACGTTGACAAAACATACCGCGGTGACTGTCACTATCATGACAGCAGGGCACATCGCACGCAGCATCGCAGATCGTGTCGAATTGCGCATCATAACGAGAGAGCTTGGAAGCTCAGGGCCCTACGCTATGCTTTTATGCTTTTTTGCCTAGCTCATCGTACATGTTTTAAGAACTGATGGAAATGTCTTTTTCCGTTGATTGGCCACATCACTGTATTGCAAAAACGTTTCCACATTTCACGTCAAATTTGAAATCGATCGGTATTTTTGCTCTCACATGCATCCATTGCTCAATCATGCATCATTTGCCCATAATTATGACAAACTTTGGCCTGCGATTTACTTTGGCCGGTTGGTACCAAGCGGCGAAATCAGCGAAATTAAATCGCCAGCGAAAATGAGTTGATTTTAATACAGTAATCGGATTTTCTGGCCTTTTTGTAGTAACACATGTACAGTTGTGGCAAGTGAAATCCGACACTTGGCATAAGGGACTGCACCGTGCATCCTGCAGCCTCTGCAGCCCTGCATAGAATCTACGTACAGTACATGTGCTGCATACAACTTTATCTGTCTGATGACAGAATTCGTACTCATCACAGTCAAGGTTCAAAAGGTGCTGGCAAAAATGAATGGGAATTGGATACCAATACTCCTTATGTGTACCATATTTGTGAACTGTGTGTATCTAAGCTGTGACCTTTCGACCTGTTTGGGATGCATGCGGCTCTATAGTACAAATTAGGTGCAGTGCATTACATCATTGATGTCCATTTGAGGCGCTGTCCCCTATGGCAAGTGTCGGATTTCACTTGCCACAACTGTACATTGACCTGTTGAGCCAATGACGACGCCGAATGCATGGTTGCCTGTGGAGCACATTACATAACTTTACAGTCTCCTAAAATACGTATCCTGTCCGACGACAAAAGAGGCTGCAGATTTAGTTTTTCTGCGCGTCGACGGGATGATTGCGACGCGAAAGTTCAGCTCGCGTTATTTGGCTCGCACGTCGAAAAATCAACGCGAGTGACCTGCTGCTCACATCGAAAGTTGGACATTACATAACTTTACAGTCTCCTTAAATACGTATCCTGTCCGACGCCAAAGGAAGCTGCAGATATAGTTTTTCTGCGCGTCGACGGGATGTCTGTCCTGACGTTTACTGGGACCGGCGCTGACTCTGCCGATCACGGGCGTTCTGGACTCGACAGGATGTCTGTCCTGACGTTTCCTGGGACCGGCTTAGACTCTGCCGATCACGGGCGTTCTGGACTCAACGAGATGTCTGTCCTGATGTTGCCTGGGACCGGCGGACTCTACCGATCACGGGCATTCTGGAGTCGACGGGATCTCTCTTCCGACGTTTCCTGTGACCGGCGCTGAATCGCTCGTTCACGCTTATTTTGGAGACGACGGGATCTCTCTTCCAAAGTATGTTTATGCTGACGCATCCTATCACCTATTCGGCGTCTATTCTAATTTAATTTCCTCCTCGTCTCCCTATTTCTTTCCAAATCTCCATCTACATCAGGGAGTCGTATACATAATACGACGAATATTGGTACGGTACGGGACAGATACAGGAGCCCGCAAATATTGTGGACAGCTGTAATGTACAATCCTGTAGAGCCTTTGTAGTCACAGATACGGGACAGATACGGGACAGATACGGGATAGCTCCAGCCGTGACACAAACAAACAAACAAACAAACAAACACCAAATTAAAGCTGTGTGGACCCTGGCTAGCGCCAGACGTTACTGAAGTAACGTCTTCTGCATAGCTACGGGAATAATTATTGCAAAATTGCTCCTGTGCATGCAAGTGAATTTCATTGCACTTCTCAGTTTGGGAAATGCTCGATTATGACAATTCTCCGTGTGAGTGCACTAGCCCTGAACAGACATGTAGGTGAACCGTTTGTGGTGTATCATAGCCTACCTCACGACCTCCTGCTTTCTTTCTTCATCACTTGTATCTTGCAGGTATATCATCCCGTGACGACCACATTGAAGTCTGAATTTGAAGTGTGAAGATGCTTCAGCAACCACATCGTACTTTTCCATTGCTTTCATTGTGCTTCTACTGTGCATGTGTGTAACTTGTGGGGTAAACATGTGTTGACATTGTATGCTGGCGACACGGTCAGATGTTCATGCGTCTAACGTACATCTGCATGTTATGCATTGAAAAGGGTTTGCCACTTGCGATCCTGGGACGAGTATCAGGTCCGCTTTGTCCTGTGTGGGCTGTATCAGATTGCTGTTCACTTCTCTATCTGTTGGATATTTGACTTTCTGCAAGTTTCTGGTGTATGATGGCCACGTCCTTGCTTGTCACTTTGTATGATATTACATTCTGTATTCGCTGCTTCCATGGCATGGTCTGCAAACTGCAATCCTTGGGCAAATGTCATGTTTGCTATGTTGTGCTTTGCCCGTCAGCTTGTCTACACGCTGTAGTTGAATTATTTTTGTTTCACAACTGACTTCCTCAAGTACGGTGGCCACTGCTTTGCATGGCATTATACATGAAGAATTTCCTGTTTGTGTCGTGTGCATGTGTGTATGTGTGCGTGGCCACATGTGTGTGCCGTGTGCATACACATGTTTGTGTATCTGTGTGCGGGGTAGCGAAGCGGGGAGGGCTGGTATGTATCAGTGTATTATTGCAGTCGCATGGCTACATACAGTACATCGCGCGCGTGGTCATCATGTTTACCTTCGGGGTTGGGGTGGGGAGGGAACGGAAAAAGAGCTGAAATTATCCATATAAAAATCGCTCTGTGAGCGGTTCTGAAAAACCTTTACTGGTACTGCCCCGTCGTAAAAGTAAGAAATTAGAACTGGCCCATTGTCCCCCCAAATGCGAACTGATCCACCTAAATCGCGAATGACGGGACCCGAACGCACCAGTAGCACGAGGTTCCTACCTGTGGATGCAGATGGGGACGTTGGCCCGGACCATAGGCCATGTACTGTACTAGCGGTAGGCTTCCCTATCAAAATAATAAATTCTACTACTACTACTACTACTGTACTACTAATTGCCGTGATCCTGTGCCCTCCCGACCTCGTGCTACTGGTGCGTTCGGGTCCCGTCATTCGCGATTTAGGTGGATCAGTTCGCATTTGGGGGGACAATGGGCCAGTTCTAATTTCTTACTTTTACGACGGGGCAGTACCAGTAAAGGTTTTTCAGAACCGCTCACAGAGCGATTTTTATATGGATAATTTTTATTATGCTAGCATAATCCGTCAAGGCCTACGATAGTTATGTCATTGATTCTTGATGACGTCGACCAGTACGACGACCACGTCGTGGTCTTTTGAAAATCGTCTGTACTTTTCAGATCACTGACTTTTCAGATTGTATCTTGTAGTGTCTTGGTGAGTAGATCTACATGGTGAGAACAGGCAGATAGTTATGATACGTTGCTGTCTCTCTTCATTTGCGACATTGTAGATCCCCATTCATCTCTGTCTGTCAGCTGTCTAAAAGGGTCTTGTTTGCACGCGTCATCCTTCCTCCCACATCTCTCACCCGTTGCATAAAAACCAGAGCCAAAGCCTTTCATATTCGTTGTTATCCTTTTGTTCAAGTTCGCCGAATTTGCTTTTGTCAACCATACCAAGACTCTGACTTTGGCAAAGGAAGTGGGAAATACGGAGTTTGCTTCATCTCTTGTAGCAACACGACTGTTGGCTGATCAACACGCCCATGCATCGATCAGTAAGATTCTGTAGCAAGCCAAGGCGTAATGAAGCTGTAATGCCAACGGCTCGCGCAAGTCAACAAATTTCTAGGCCCAAGTTCTTTATTGCCAAATATTGGCTCACTTTTCAACTTTAGTTGTACTGGTGTTCACGGCCTCTAGCATAGTCGTTAGTAGCATTTGTTCAAACACGCACACGGTTATAATAATATTTTTGGACTCGGATCGAGAGCCAAGGCTTAAGGATTTATATTATTTCGTGTCCATTTCCCTGAAGTCTGCTGGAATTTTTCATAAAAACAATCTTTAACACATGTAATTGTTGTGCTGATGGTGATGTTTTGATATGTGCCAGTGTTACCCCATGTTGTTATGTATGCTGTGCTTGTAACTGTTGCAGTCGGCCATGACGGGACCCGGTGGGAGCGGGTGGTCGCACGGCGGAGACCGCGTGACACACGTGTCCTATCACCGCAAGCCGGGCTTCTTCCAGAAAGCCGGCGACTCGCTGTGCGGTGCCGTCTTTGGGTTCATCTTGCTGGTTGCAGCTGTACCGGTGCTCTTTCTGAACGAGGTAGGTGTCGAAAGGAAATCCAAGTGGATTGCTGTAGTGCAACGTCTGCCTAATCCAGTCATGATTGGACTGGTTTTAGAGGTGATTGTTCTTCAAGGATTATCAGTATACAGTCGTCCCTCTCTAATCCGGCACCTTTTGCTACGGCGTTTTCTGCTGGATTAACGAGGGTGCTGGATTAAGAAATCCTGCCCTCTGATCCGGCCCTACCCAATTGCATGCATGTGTCATACGTCAAAACGCAGGGTTTTTCCATGTCGATCCAAGTATTTGATGCACAACTTTATATTCTCAACTGTTCTCCAGGAATATACACAGTGCTTAGTGATAAAGTAAAACAGAGAACATGTTCACATGTACTCTTGCACACAAACGCACACACACACACAGACCTGAAAATTGGCAGGACACTACTCCTTGCTAAAATAAGAAAGTATGGTTGACTGCTTAGCAGTTGTCTCCTGGACAACATTGACCCTCTTAAGAAGGCCACGCAAGCCGTCGACATCATGCAGGTCGAACGACGGATGTCCTTCGAAGCAAACAATTGCATCAGCAAGTGCGCGGGATGCTTGTGCCAGAGTTGGAAGGCTGTTGGAGTGCGCATTCAAGATGTGCTAGAGCTGTTAGCCAGTTAGTTGTAGAACGTCAGTACCGTCGGTCAGTGTCGTGCATCGTCGCTGATTGTTTAGTAACTGGTGGTGTTAGTGGACAGTATAGCGTAACTTGTAGTTCCTTGGTCTTTCTCTTTGTATAAATTGAGTTCGGGTTCGGAAAAGTCCTAACAACCAACCGAACTGAACTCTCCCGCGCGAGGTCGAGTACAGTTGTCAAATTCGATCGATAACTGAACGCGATTTACGACTGCCGGATTATGAAATCAAACTACGTGCAGTTTGAGCGATTTGTTTCAAAAAGTCACTGCCGGAGGCGGAATTCAAGTGCCGGATTACGATGTAGGAATTGAACGAAAAAAATCGGTTTCATCAGAAAGTGCGCCGGTTGGCAAGGGTTCCGGATTAACAAGTGCTGGATTAGAGAGGGACGACTGTAGTATGAAATAGGATTCTGCGGTGTAGCTTTCGATCATTGTGTAATTGTATACAACGAACTTCACCACTACTCTTGTGCTCTATGGCTGACATATGCGACATTGCAGACATTAGATTATTTCTATTAAAACTGTAGGTTCATACACAGCAGAATCAGCCATCAAACAGGATGAATGACAATTGCATATTTTCATGCTCTTCTTTCTTATAATGTTCCTTTACCTCGCCAGGGCCGTGCTGTGCAAACAGCCCAGTCGTTGGACGAGGGACTGGCCAACTGTGTCAGCCTGCGATATGGTAGCCCACCATTCGAGTCGAATGAACAACGTCTCATACACATCAGTGGAGAACTGTCAAGCAGGATGGTAAGTTTTAGCAAGAGTACGTAAGCCAGAGTAAGCAACCTGGTAACTATGCTGCATGACATAAAGCGACTCCCATGAAGTTTATTTTTATTTTTTTAGGCGATCATGAATCATAGGATGCTCCATCATGCCGTATGTAGGGGCGAATCACTGCATCACTAAGGTGATCAAAATGCACATGCATGTGTCGCATCCCTGCGCTCAGTGACCGGACCCAGAAGTCACTACGAGCGGCGACTGAATAAACGTGTGGCCTCACGACAAGCCCAACACAACCCAGGAGCCAACCAGTATAGCTGGCTTGGTCCAAGTTCAACTCCACTTGATCAACAGACGACTGTTAGTTTCACGTTGTGAGTAGTCATTCAAATCCGAGCTCAAAGTAAAACTAAGACCGAGAGCTGAGACCAAGTCTCGACTGAAGTAAAATAGAAAACGAGAACTTCTTTTATAGCGCGTTTTAGAGATATGGCGTGATCATTGCTTAGAATGGTACGAGGTAATTCCAGGAAATACTAGAACAGGTAAAACCGGAATATGCGCAGCCAGTCAACAAGAAAGCAGAATACACGTACGGTAATCAATCGAGAAGAAAGAGAAAGAAAGACATGGAGAGAAGAAAGACCAAATCCCCCCCCCCCCCCCACGTCATACATACCATGTGTGTATGTGATGGTCACGTCGGGGAGCCCGCTCACCCAACGTGCCATTGCTCAGCGGCTTCTTATGGGTAAGTTCTGCGGTATTCTTTTTCGCTCTGCTTGCGTGATACCCTTGACCTGGTGCGGTGACGGTTTTGGCTCTTGCACACATCTGTCTCTTCATTATTATGCACTTAGCTCTTGCTAGTCTTGGCTCTTTGCACGAAGCGCCGAGGCATCGTGGAAACCTGTAGAACATCGTAGTGACGTGGTTTTGCACAAAGCCTGGAGTCATATTTCCAGGAAGTGAAACACTTCCAGGAAACGTACAAAGCGAGACCCTGCCTAACCAGGTTCCGGTGTTGGGTCACATGATGTGCAATGCCAAGAAGGCATGTCACCTACGTCGCTCAACCACTACATGCTAAGCACGTGGGACAAGACGCTGGCCAAACCATGTTGTATGAAAAGGGCGTGACAGCTCAGCACAGAGCTGCTCACTGTGTAGATCCTGCTGTCACAGGACTATCAGGCAGCAGTGGTCACATCCAGTGACGTGACACATGCTTCACCTTTTGTGCGACAAGCAGCAATGCGCAATAGAAATAACCTTGGTGCTGAGGTAAAATAGCCAAGTGCAAGCCTGTGTGAGAGTTATTATGATGTAGCAAAGGTGAGTCACTATGATCTAACCAAAACACTTCACCATGGGCTCTCTCTCCAGGAGTTGCCTACTAGTACTCTGTACATAGTGTCAAGAGTATATAACCCCCCCCAAGAGTGTGCAACTCTGCATATGGGGTCTCCGACGGCGAAAACTCACATCACGAATCTCAGATACGTTCGTACTACGTACTCGTACAAACGAAGGATAGCGTGCGCGCAATCCGAATATCTGCCATGATCATGCTGGGGATTTGCACACGCGCAGTGAGTTTCTGTCAGAGAGTGCTTTTTTTTATTACTCCGCTGCTTGCTAAAACGGGCTGGAAACGTACAACTGCGGCACTACACCACGTGATGTGAGTTTTCGCCGTCGGCGTAGCGTACCCCATAGTCATAGAAAGGGTATCAGGAGTTGCACACTCTTGATGGTGTTCAGTTGGATTTGCAACTGCTCGTCACTGGTTTCATGTCTGCCTCCTTAGCGCAGTAGGCAGCGCGTCAGTCTCATAATCTGAAGGTCGTGAGTTCGATCCTCACAGGGGGCAGTTTCTTTTTTCTTCCTTTTTTTACCGTGATTAATACATAGAAAATTTGTAATTCGATGTTCAAAGCTCACTGTTCACTTTTATTTACTTATCATATCAGTTCAATGTCCCTCGACAGACTGTACTGGCCAACTAGGGGTGCGCTCAAAGTCCGTGCCTATGCTGCATATTGTTACTCGGTGTGACTATGCGAGCATTTTGACATACGTATTGTGTTGTGGGTGCATGTGTAGCGTTGGCACGCTAGTAACTTACACAGCTGCAGCGTGAATCACTTTCAATGTATTGGTCACGCGTGTTGCATTGCACCGCACCCCGCACTTGCAAGTCTTACTACCGTGCTTGCCGACCCATGACGTGCATAGTAACTAGTCTCAGCTCACTGTGTTCAATGTTTCGACCTTAGAAATACTAGCACATGTACACTCTAGACCTTTTGCTGCACTTTCAACCGCCTCTTTTACGCCCATTGCCCACACCGCTATTCAGCTCCTTCTTCTGCATAGAATCAAATGGCATTCCTTGTGCAATGACTGTGGCCCACACATCTTACTTTGACCATTCTTCTTCTGCTCTACGTATCCCCTGGTCATAGGCTAGCTTACTTACACTAACAATTCTTCACCCTATAAAAGCTGCTGTTCACAATTCTCTTCAGTTAGAAATGTCAGTTTAGAGTTAGAGTTAGAGTCAGAGTTAATGTTTACAATGTAGTCTTCAGTTTAGTTCAGTAATAATAAACAACAGTGTGTTCATTGAGACCCAAGTGCATTTGCCTCCGCGAGAGAGACTTAGATCCTAGATGAATATGAAACGAGCACCAGTCAGCTGCTCTTTCATTGTCTCCACGTAGGTTCAAGGATTCGTCAGAACTCTGAAGCACGCCTTGTTTATCCGAGCACCTATTCTTTTATTTGGTGGCTGCTCTGAGAGAAGTTTCTTCTCGTACATGTACTGGTTTCGTCGCGGAATGCCAAAGGTCTCCATTGTTTGGTTTTCCAAGCAATGCAGTTTCACGTTTATTGATTTTTCAATATCACCACGTTGATTGCACTTTTGTAGGATAGAATACATGCATTGTCAAATAATTGACAATCATTTTTTTACCTTCCTAAGGGTGTGCATCATTTTTACGTCTTCCTATATACAGCTTTTGGCTTGTTCGCTTCTATTTTGTTTCCATTCACAGCCGCTTGAAGACACACAGTTTGGCGTCAGCATGACTGCTTTTCGCCTTGAGCGACGTGTGGAAATGCTGCAGTGGGTCGAGTCGCAAGAAACTCGCGAGTATGAGGATCGCGGCGAGACCCGTCGCGAGACCACCTACTCGTACAACCGGGATTGGCGATCCGATCTCGTGCGCAGTGACTCCTTTGAGGAGTCCCTGCGTCATCGCAATCCAGCGTAAGCCGTAGAAACACACCTGGTTGCTACTGTATGCTGTTAGTACATGTATGTCTGAAGGTAGACTGGTTTGCGGGGGGGGGGGGGGGGGGGGGGGAGAGCTGTGCATGCATGCCTGAATACTGAGTAGTGAACACTACTCCTGTTCTCCAAGTATATTACTCCACGTAGCAATGTGATCACAGGCCAGATGCCTGTTTGTGTGTTTCTGGTCTTTTGTATCACGACGTAAGGAGCTTGCCTTCATTCAGATACTTTGAACTACATAACAGTCGACTCCACTTACAACAAACTTGCATACCGAATTTTGTGATAATTATAGCGAACCAATGTCCATGTCCCTGTTTGAACCCATACACAACTGACCTTTTATAATGAACAGTTTTCGTTTATAACGAACCATTATGTCGTAGGGCCGCATGTAAACCAAGTGCACTCATACCGTTATTGTGTGCGTGTGTGTGTGTGTGTGTGTGTGTGTGTGTGTGTGTGTGTGCGCATGTGTGTGTGTATTTTTGGCTTGTTGCTTACCATGTAATGCAGGATGTTTCCAATCTCCTCATCAACCTTTGAGTCACCCGTTGTGAACGTGGGCGAATTCTCGCTGTCCAATGGTGCGTTTCTTGCCCGGGAGCTGTATTGTCCGTTTTTCCACAATTGTGCATTAGTGTGCACTAGTAGTACATGTATGTGCTGTGTTGTCATGGCGACGTTCAAATGATCACCGTGATGATGAACTCTGTCAGTCTGCTGATTGAAGTCATTCTGTTTGCTTTACACGGTCATTTTTGCATATACCGGTATTGGCACTTTGCTTGTAGGTCTCCTGAGTAAGCTTCGAACGGAGAGCACCATCCAGCCACAGTCGGTAGCCAGGCTTCGACTGGGACCCGGTCAGAAGATCTGGGATAGCTATGTTGTGCAGGCTGTCGATCCATATAACTTTCAGGTAAGAGTGTTTCTCTCCTTGTGTTTCACTCTAGTTGTAGTTCTACCCGTTTTGATCGATGTCGGCACCATCAAAACTCACAGCACCACCCGTGACCAGTTTAAGAGAAGACTAATGAACACTCGACCATATTGTGTTTTGTCTTAATAAAAGCCCCGTATTGCTCACTCACATGCAGTCAGTGGTTTAGTAGGAAAGTATTGTCAGTCTCCGTACACAAAAAGGGATTACTGAGCTCGTTCTAAAAACTCTTGAAACTTCCTTCTACTCGATCATTGTACCGTACCCAGTGTCCTCTACTTCTCACAGTCTAGTTAACCTGCCCTACTTGGCTGCTGCTGTTGCTGCTGTTGCTGTTGTTCATGATGGTTGACAGGTTGGTGATGTTCGTATTCGCTGGGTGTACATGGGATGTACGCAGGACACAGGAGGACAGGCTATGTCCGGACAACTGTGTGTGCCACAGCAGGTAAGGCACACAACACCCTACCATAACTCCACAAAGAATTGATCAACGAGAGCCTCCCGCCACGCTGGCGGTTTCTGAGGCAGCTAGTGGTGTTTAGTATTTCTTTTTAGAACTTTATTATTGGACTCGGATGGAGAGCCAAGGATAAATTTATAGTAAAGAAAAAAGGACCAAGAAACCACAAGTTACGCTATAATGTCCACTAACACCACCAGTTACTAAACAATCAGCTCATGCGATAACATTGCACGACACTGACCGGCGGTACTGACGTTCTACAACTAACTGGCTAACAGCTCTAGCACATCTTGGATGCGCACTCCAACAGCCTTCCAACTTGGAAGGTTCTAAGTTATAGAGATAACATGAGCAGTTGTAGAACGTCAGTACCGCCGGTCAGTGTCGTGCAATGTTATCGCATGAGCTGATTGTTTAGTAACTGGTGGTGCTAGTGGACATTATAGCGTAACTTGTGGTTTCTTGGTCCTTTTTTCTTTACTATAAACGTTATTATTCATGTGTATGTATGCAGGCTTTGTGGCCGGATTCCTCACTGTAAATAAAACAAAAACAAAAAACAAACATAACTCCACACCGTATGCACTACAACGCCACTGTGGACCCTCACTGGTGTATGCACTCGGCATTGGGCATTGTGGAGACGGAAAGCAGTACTAGTACCTGATCTGTAGGCCCGTGCTGTTGATTTTAATAAGAACACGGCATGCTTGACCCAATTCGTATGGAAACGCATTGAAAAGTGTCCGACGAGAATAGAACTGGGCCCCTTCCGAAACCATTTCTCTCTGCTACATGCTAGTGACAGGCAGGCATAGTGAGATGGTCTAAGACCATGATTAAGAAACAAGGGGTACAGTGGTCCCTTTATAGTCCGCCACCATTTGTTCTAAAGAAATTCTGCTGGATTAGGGAGGGTGCTGGATTAACAAATCTTATCTACTATTGCAATCTGCATGAAGAGGACATTTTGGCTAATGAAAATTGTGCTGGTTTATAGAGGGTGATGGTTTATAAAGTGCCGGATTAAGGAGGGACGACTGTATCAGGTTCAAGTCCTGCTTGGAAGCGGAAGGATGCAGCGAATGGGACCTTCGGTCTTTGACCACTTTGTTGGCGAGCTGATCTACTCACCTCCCACCGCTGTAGGAGCTTCATCTGAGCATTTAATCTGTGTAGGGTGGTGGCGTTTCTACGGATGCTGAAAAGTGAAAACTAGTCTAACTGAGTCTCAAGCCAACCGTTAATTTTTTTTAAATATTTTTACTAGTGACAGCTTGTAGGCTACTTTCTGACACATAATTATAACTTGTCGATCACATGCTTTCCTGTGCATCTTAGGTCAGTATTGTTGGCCGGCAGGTGGGCTCCACAATAGGCGCTTATCAGACCAACGCCGGCGATGTCCTGTGGCTACTTTATGAAGGAACAATGTCAGCAAAGGTCAGTAGCTACTCGAAGTGACTGCATTGTGTGATAAGGCATTGCTAGGCTACCTAGACAGTACCTGTACTAGTGCAGCAGGCGCGTGCGCCGGTGCCCTTCAATGGAGGGGGGGGGGGGTTCCGGGGGGCCTCCCGGGAAAAATTTCAAAAATGAAGCAAAATCCTGCATTTTAATTTGAGCGAAAAGGGGGGGGGGTTCCGGGCACCCAGGAACCCATACGGGGCACGCGCTTGTGCAGTGTAGCTTTAAACCATACGTGAGGTCAGTACCTTGTGGGAAAGCATGTTGAAAAGCGCATACAGTATGTAATAATTATTTAGTTTTCTCCGGCCAACTCATCAACTCACAAAGAGGAGTTCATGAGACCGTTCGCAAGAACTAGACCTGAGAGATTGCCCGCACATCTTTGAACCACGGCACCGTGGCGACATCCACTGTGATGTTGCTGGAAGAGCTTGGGCACTTTGACCTTCACCGTCCTCCCCTAATCTTAAACGGTTCTTCAGTCGGCAGCACACAAGAGCGTGCGGGAAGCTACTGTGGTCTTTGTCTTTGGTCAGCATACTGCGATGCGCATATACATGATGGGTTTTCCGGGTGTTAGTAGCCGCTGTGAGTTCCCCTGAGAACGGAGACGAAAATTTCCTCTTTTTACCGACGTACCTAGCTTCACATTGCTCCATTGGAATGGGTTTCTGGCCTCAGTGTCCATGTACATGTCTGTACACACAACAGGGGCGTCGGAAGGTATTGTGGTGTGTGGTGTGGTGCGGTCAGACATCTGAAGTACAATTTACTCATGGGGGAGGGGTGGCTGAGACGAAAATTTCGGCAATTTAGAGCCCAAATCAGTGCACTGTATTGATTCAAAGGCTACCTAAAACAAAAAGTAGTATGGTCAATACCGTAGTGACCGTACCGTGTCCGACACCCCTGCACTAGTAGTTGTTTGGATAAGTTAATAGGAAGAACCGGGCAATGTGTGCTTTTCTCTGAGAATAGGATCTTTTAAAATTGTCGAAATTCTGTATTGTATATTTTCCCTGTTTGATCTGTTTACAGGCTATCTTCGACGCTGAGCACAGCAGCAACAATGCATGGACTTGGGTGCTGCGCTTGCTCGGTTTCTTCATGATGTTCATCGGTCTTAGCCTGATCACGTCCATTGTCACCACCATCAGTATGTACAGACTGTCCGTGAAGACAGTTTGCTTCTATACGCACACACACACACACACACACACACACACACACACACACACACACACACACACACACACACACACACACACACACACACACACACACACACACACACACACACACACACACACACACACACACACACACACACACACACACACACACACACACACACACACACACACACACACACACACACACACACACACACACACACACACACACACACACACACACACACACACACACACACACACACACACACACACACACACACACACACACACACACACACACACACACACACACACACACACACACACACACACACACACACACACACACACACACACACACACACACACACACACACACACACACACACACACACACACACACACACACACACACACACACACACACACACACACACACACACACACACACACACACACACACACACACACACACACACACACACACACACACACACACACACACACACACACACACACACACACACACACACACACACACACACACACACACACACACACACACACACACACACACACACACACACACACACACACACACACACACACACACACACACACACACACACACACACACACACACACACACACACACACACACACACACACACACACACACACACACACACACACACACTGCACATGCTGCCTGCTTCCGACTTTGCTATTTTCCTTTAGAGTGCATGTACATTGTACAGTCAACTTTGTGTATAACCACACTCGGCGGGGCATTAGAAAAGTGTCCTTATTCACGAAGTGTCCTTATACCCGATGTCTCATTATAATTATGCATTACAGTTAGATGGGACTTTGCTCTGGGCATGGAAATTCTGTCATCATCCGCGAATTGTCGTTATATCCACAGTCGTTATTAGCGAAATTGACTGTATGCATAGTACTGTAGTTGGAATCCTAGTTACTTACGTACCCGATAGTCCTTGGAATCAGCTCGAAGCTCTCAAGCCACGGGCTACGGGTCTGCTGATTATCTTCCCCCCCCCCCCCCCCCCCCCCCGAAATTCCCAGTAGTCTGGTAGTCGAAGCCACAAAGTAGTGCTGCAAAGTTAGCATGTATGGAGAGGGTTAGGGAGGGCGGGGTATTGGCTGAAGCATATTTTATTAAAAACATAATCAGAGCTCGTCTTCATCACATCGCCTGTTATGATTGTGTTGCTGTTATGGTGTTCAGAAATGGAACTTACGCTCTCTCTCTCTCTCTCTCTCTCTCTCTCTCTCTCTCTCTCTCTCTCTCTCTCTCTCTCTCTCTCTCTCTCTCTCTCTCTCTCTCTCTCTCTCTCTCTCTCTCTCTCTCTCTTTCTCTCTCTCTCTCTCTCTCTCTCTCTCTCTCTCTCTCTCTCTCTCTCTCTCTCTCTCTTCTTTCTTCCCTTTCTTGTTGTTCTCAATCCACTCTTGTACACAGCGTCTTACATCCCTTTCTTGGGCGCACTGGTTAGCTTTGGCGTGTTCTTGTTGAACATATCGTTGGCAATGAGCTTGTCTCTGCTTGTCATCGCTATTGGCTGGCTGCGGTATCGTCCAGTTCTTGCCATGACCCTTTTAGCCATTGGCATGATGCCGTACCTGGTGGCCAACCTCAAGTCCAAGCCGAAGAATGAAGATTAGTTTTATTTCTGCAAATTGCTCAACGTGCCACTTTGTTGAACCCTGCGCCTAAGAATTTCAAGACTGAGGGGGTCATGAAAGAAAACATCCGAACTTGTCCTTCCTTGACGCTAACATCAGGACAGTATAAGTTGCCCAAAGTGGTCTATGCAAGGCAGTTCTTAGTAACTTCTTACTATGATGCATTGCACTCCTTCAAATTGTTATTCTGCTGGTGCATTTGTCTGCAAAACATGAGAGAGTATTGTGCGTGCTTCGGTACGGTGGCTATATTCATATTTCTGAACACATAGAACTTATTTTCTTGTACGAATGCCCGGAGCAGGTTTCCAGAGCTGTTTTTTTTTTGCACTATAGCTGGTGTGTATGCTAGTCGCTAGTCTATACTTGCCTTGCGTGTATTATTTTCAAATTTCGTCTGCGAATCTACTAGTACTACTGACTTGCATTGACTACCTTCTGAACTGGATTCTCATCGTTGTTATATGGACGGACTAGAGTCACTAGACTGCTGCATTGCTCACCTGTACTGTACTGTAGGAAAGTTTCCATATCAAATCCTAGATGTATCCATGTACCTGATGGACAGATATATGCCCATGATACTACATGTATGTGACATCAACTTACTTACATGTAATGTGTATGTTTAACTTACTTACATGTAATGTCCAGGACCAACTAGAAAGCTGTCTGCACCCACGCAAGCACATGATACAGGAATGAAAAAGAGGAAAAGGAAACATTGCGCCTGATCAAGGGCATGGTGACGCGAGAATATTGATCTACTTCGAAGTACCTGTTATTCGGCCAAGGTATTCCGAGCCACATCTTCATTTCCGGTGTCTGCACTTGACAGGACTCTGGTCTTGACCTCCAGCTCCGCCTTAGCCTAGGCTTGCATAGTGTTAGTACATCACTGCATGACTGTATCTTTGTTACTGGTACATGTACATCAGGGAGTCGTATAGACCCTCTATACGACTCCCTGATGTACATGTACATGTATGGTACTAGTATGGTATTAGATAACCCAATACTAGTACAGGACTTGTAGTCCTCCACCTTGTTTCATGCTGTCAAACCAACAACGTACATGATTGTATGTACAATATTGCCTCCCTCAGAAGAACATGTGGTTGCATGAGCCTAGGCCTAAAGTGTATTCTTTTTTTGCGCCTATTTTTGCACCCCATCAACCAACTCACGCAATCTTTTCCATCACTATCAGCCCGGATCATCCATTCGCGCTATGAATCCTATGATCCAAGCTTGCAGCCTATATCAATCATATCTTCTGAAAATTGATTGTAGTCAAGTAATTGCACGTTGCTGTCTGATGATCGGTTAAAGCCGTGAAACTCAGAGTTACAGCAGAAACGCTTTTGTATCTACGTAACATCGTTTGGTGTTACATGACCAGGTACGAGTACAGTGGAGAGCCTATCAACTGGCCCGTGTGGTCTTGTAAAACACCCGCAACCGTTACAGTAACAGTCGAGAAGCGAATGTGGCTTGCACTGTAACAGACAGGCATGACGAAGACGGCTATCGCTACATGTTACATGTATGTTCACGATGTTTTTCAAAGCGACGAGGTGTCAGGTGTCGCCAACTCTGTTTCCGTCACAGTAAGTTCCACCATTCTGCTATGGCTTGTCATACGTCCGCCGAAACCACAAGGCACAACAGACCCTGTAATGATGCACGTGTCGAGTGTACGGCACACCGGTTTTGTGTGTTATTATTATTATTAGCACTACATGTACTTGTACATGACTCAAAGAAGATCGAGCTCCAACGCGCTCACACTCACAGTCACCTGGTCACACCTCTCAAAGAGACGGATCGCGCCAAATCAAATGCTGACCCCGACACAAACTCACTCAGCTGCTAGCATGCTAGCTGGTTGTTGCTTCATTGCCGAACTGTCCTACTGCCAAGTACAAAGTCATGTACACACGCTGGGAGCAAAGGAGATGTAGTGGCCAGTTTTGGGCAAAAGCAGCCAGCTTCGCGAGTTGGTCGGTCTCAGTTCCTTTTCAGGCGTTTGGCTCTTGACAGGGTAACCCACAGGCGAAGTTGTGGACAACTGCCTCAAGCCAAGGTGGCGCCAGTGGCGAGCCACAAGTGCTGGCATCGGTGGAGCTGTTGACGGGAATGAACATCCATTCCTAGAAGAAGTCATTGCTAGCACTGGAAGGAGGAAGCACGGCACAACCAGTCTACCTTCGACTACTTCCAGTCACCTTCATTTCTGGACACTTCAGAATCACGGTTGCTCCGCATCTCGTTCTTCCGCTGTGCTCGGTTTTAGCATCCTTAGCCTGTACCTTTTCATCGGAAAGAGCTGACGGTGGAAGTACCATGACAGGTTTGTTGCAATGGACTCTGGCGTAGGTCGTTTATCCTCCCGCGGCGGTCCTGTATCTTTGCCGTTGGGCATGACGCATGATCGTCCGGTGACCGGAGCTGCTATTAGCAGCACTGTGACGGTGGACGACTGGCACCCGCACACCTACATTATCGCGTTGCCGGCCATAATCCTGGTCTCGCTGCTTGTTGGCGTGATCTTGGTGGCTATGCTGTGGTTCCGCTTGCTTGACGCCTACTACAAATCCATTGCGGCACGGAAACAGGAGGCGACGGAGTCCACGGCGCATCAGAACCACCGGTTAGAAATCAGACGTTTTCTAAAAATGTCTGTACATTACTATACTACAGTGCTGGCAACTGAAATCCGACCCCCTGGGCGGTGCGCTCACACCGCAAAGAATGTGAACCCACCGCTCAGGGGGTCGGATTTCAGTTGCCAGCGCTGTAGCACTTGCTTGATGTTATACACTGTTATACCACCCTTTTATACAAACTCTCATTCAACTTCAACAGAGATTTCAAGTTTATATTTTCAATATAAACCTGAATATAAACCTGAAATCACAATATAAACCTGAATATAAACTTGAATATAAACGCCTTTTTTTAGGGCCACAACACTGTCAGCAGCAGGATTAGGCAGCAGAATCGGATGTAGAGCGCTTTCTCTTTAGCTTTTTGCGAGCTTGCTTAGCACGGTCAGCATGAATGTTGAACACAATAGATGTGTTCTGAAATGTAGAAGCAGCAGCATTCAGATAGGGAGCCAAAGCAGATGAACTCACAGTAGAAGTACTATTCTGAACAGGGCTAGCCTGGACAGAAGTGGCTATGGATGAAGGGTGCAGTGGAAAATTCTCTTTGCAAGTGGCAGGCGGAACAGCTTTCACAGAGCCAAGATCAACAGCAGCAGCCATAGAGCAAGAATCTTTTGTGGTGGGGCGATCATAAGCAGATAAGGATTGAACATTACGATGGCCTGACACACTGCAAATTCGCCTATCATCAATGCCACTGCGCTTCATGTTGGTAATGCAAGTGGCACGTACACAATGATTAGTATAAGCCATGGAAAGATCAGCGAGCTCAGACAATCTCTTCATCATTCCTGCTAACAGATTGTGCGACAGCGGTGAGCGTGTGTACCAACATGACATATCAGCAGGAAGCTTACCAGGTTTCACAGCGCGCTGAAACAAGCGATCTTGGTCAGGGTGAAGCTTGTCAAGGTAACGCTTGATTGCTGTCAGCTGCGTTTGATCATTGATTACTCCTGCTGACGACCAGTCCGATCCTGTCAAGCCCCCTTGGTGATTCTTGGACATAAACGATGTTCCAAGCCTGAGCACGTCTTGTCCGTCGATAGATTCAAACACGAGGTCGCGTTTCGTTAGCTTTGACTGCATTTCACCACCTCTGAGGCAGAAGTGGAGAGTTAGCTGGTACCAAACGTAGAACGCCAGCTTGATCGCGTCGGTTGTTTCGACGACATCCTCGAAATATGTGCGCAGCTTTCCGAGATCGTCTTCAGACAGTGGTTCTTTGTGCTTTACAGCTGGTTCGTTGCCTGCGCGCTTGCATGCCTTTAGTACACCATCCAATAGTTTGTTGGTCCTTGCAAAGGCTTCATCGCTGAATATGTTGATTTCTCGCATAGAAGACAGATGACGCTGTATAGCACTTCTTGCTGCCAGAAGACTGTTCTTTGAGAAAGGAGTTCCATGGCGCGTCTTCGCATCGACGTAGAAAGAGCCAACTAGGTCTGAAAGCTCCGGAATAGGGATTGAGGAGAAGTTCGTAGTCGAAGCCTTTTGATCTTTGCAGTAATCAGTGAAGAGCCGTACCCAATACTGGGTTGCTGAGTGTGTACTCTTTGGAACAGCGTCAGAGATGAGTTTTTGCTGGTCCTCCTTCGTTGACGCTCCGAAAACTCTTTTCTTGGGTGGATCTTCAGACTGATCTGGATCCATAGTGAAATCAATGTTACCACAACTGCCAAACTGGAGGAAGTGGCAGATATGGGGTGCCCAAGTTGCTTATAACTTCAAAAAGCGCGCCCAAATTTGCGCGCCTAAATTCACCATGGAAACAAGCAGTTGACTGTGTTCTCCAACGTCGTCACCTAAAGAATGTCACGAAAGTTCTCACTTTTTGGAGGAAGCTCTGCACTGGCTTAGTGACTAGGTAAAGCGATACTGTTGTCAGTGTTGACTCATGCATAACCGCTGTACAGTGCTAGTAGCCTAGTCTACTGTCTTCCACAAGTAATGAAGAATGGCTATCTCTTCGGTAGAAGACAAGGGTAATGATTAATGGCTGATACTGCTCACAAAAAAGTCGGTAGAGTTGAATGGAGGTTTGTATAAAGGCTGGTATAAATATACTACAACCTACTCTTAGGTTTATACGTGGAATATAAACTATCACACAAACCTCGGCTTCGCCTCGGTTTGTGTTCAGTTTATATTCCACGTATAAACCTAAGAGTAGGTTGTAGTATATACATACAGTGTTGGCGCATACTGTACATGTATTACAGTATCATGCATTACCCCCGTAGATGTTTGTGCGACGATGCAGGATGTAATGTAGTCTGGTTGTGAGTTCACAAGTGACATGCCCCTGGCCAGACCTGGCCGCACATACCAGTGCATGCGTTATCATCTGTGCTCCACTGGAATGTGCGGCTAAATAATTCAGGGTGAAGACTGAAGAGCCGTAATTACTAATTACCGTATTTTCCGAGTAGAAGCCGCACTTTGAACACTCGAAATTCAACCCAAAAAAGTTATAGAAGGACAAAAAGGACCCGGGAACTACAAGTTCCGCTATAACTTAAAGGGGAAGTTAAGGCAAAAATTAAAATTTCACCAGTTGTAGTCTTCGGGGTGCTGAGTCGAATGGTCGTGGTCCGAGGAAGCTGAGACGCTCCCTTCCTACTTGAATCCCAATCGAACTCGCGCACTTCCACCGAAACTGGGTGACTGCGCCCTACGAGATGGGGATTTGTATGCAAAATGTCACTAAAAGCACCATTTCGTTCTTATAAAAGCACGGATGACCGCGATTGGCCCATATGTTGTAGTCTTTTGGACGCTGAGTCGACTGGTTTTGGTCCGAAAAGGCTGCGATGCAGCGTTCCTCCTTTATTCCCAATCGAACATGGTTGAACAAGTGGTCACGTGCTCCTGGGTGCCCAAATCACCTGGTCACCACGCCAGCAGGTGACAACTTTCACACCAAGGTTCAACTCGAGTTCAACTCGAGTGACAGGACTGCACCCAAAAAAGGTCAAACAGGCTAGTAAGTTGTACCCTGCAGGCACGGTGACCAGGTGACTGGCGTACGCAGGAGCACGTGACCGCTTCTTCAATCATGTTCGATTGGGAATAAAGGCGGAACGCTGCATCGCAGCCTTTTCGGACCAAAACCAGTCGACTCAGCGTCCAAAAGACTACAACATATGGGCCAATCGCGGTCATCCGTGCTTTTATAAGAACGAAATGCAGCGGCGGATCCAGAGTTCAGCTGAGGGGAGGGCGCGGGTAATATTCATGACAGGGAACCTATGCGGCACCTGTATTTTGTACACATTACGACATAGCGGCTATTTTACGTCATAGGCTTAGCGGTTATGTAGAATTACTATTTTTAGCACTGTTGTGTCCTGCTCAAGGCAGACCAACTCTTCGAAAGATGAGAATGAATCATCAGTAAAACGCAATGGCTTTTAAAGGGAAGCTGGCTGCAAAGGCGGCTTGAAAGGTGACATGTGAATGTGTTATGTGCAAGGCGCCAGAGGTACAGCAGTGCAGGGCCTAGGGTGCGAACAGTAGCACTAGCAGCCTGAGTGCCAAGACCCATGCAGGGAAAGGTGCTACAATATCACCACATGCCCCCTCGGCTTAAGTGCGACTTGGGAGCACTAACACAAAGAAAATCCTGAAACTGAAATTCGAAAATCACAGCGTAGCGCACAAGCAACAAGGACAAAGCAAGAGAAGCATGCCCAGTCAATCTATGCACGTGGCCGGAGGAACCGTCTGTTCCGCCAGAAGCTGGACCCCGTCACTGTCTGCACTGTGTAGCTCCGTCCTCTTCTCGTGCATTTTGTGACCGTTCCTTCCATATCCCAGCGTTTTGAAGACTGGTTCTGGATCCATACCTTATCGCCTACGTGCAGAGGGGGCAGAGGTTTGCCAAGCTGGGATGAGACCTGCTGGGGAGCACTGCGGCTGTGGGCAGCGTACTGCTGCAGATTTGCAGGAAGTGTGGGAACCTTGGTCCTCGTTGGCCTTCCAAACAGCAGCTGGGCCGGGCTTGCTCCTCCTGCACCAGGCGTGTTACGCCACTCCAGCAACCCTTCTCTGAAGGCACTGCTGTTATAGGCGTCACCTTTGCCAATTTTCATTAATAAGTGCTTCATGACCTTGACCGCCGCCTCAGCCGCGCCATTTGACTGAGGATTGTACGGGCTGCTGGGGTCGTGGCAAATGTTCCACTCTGAGCAGAACGAAGCGAATGCTGAAGATCTGAATTGCGGCCCACCATCCGTCGTGAGGCGCGTAGGAACGCCAACGTCCGACATCCACTGAACGAGATGTTTGGTGACGTCAGACGTGGTAGCCGACCTCCCACAACGCCCAACAAATGGCCAGCCGGAAAACTTGTCGGTGAGAACCAGGTACTCAAAGCCGCCTAGGGAGAAGAGGTCCGCCGCTGCATCTTCGAACGGTCTGGACGGACGACTGTCAGAGAGGAGCGGCTCAGAAGGTTGGGAGGGGAGCAGCGTGATGCAGGATCTGCAAGTCTGGACGACGTTCTTAACGTCATTGGAGATCTGGGGCCAGTACACTGCTTGCCTGGCCCTGCGGAGTGTGCGGGTCTGTCCCTGATGAGAAGCGTGAAGTTGCTCCAGCGTGGTCTGGCGTAACCTTCTGGGAACGACAATACGGTGGCCCAACAACACTATGCCGTCCTCGACCGACAGGTCATGCCGAACCTGCCAGTACGGGTGCAGATCGAGGTCCAGAGCAGCCTTGTCCACCGGAAAGCCGTTCTTTACGGCGTTCAGCAGCTTGAGGTATTCCGGGTCCGTCGAGCCCTCCGCCCGCACCTTCGTAATGCCAAGGTCGGGGAGGACTGTATGGCCTGTTTCCTCGTCCTCTTGCGACAGCTGACGGAGAACACAGTAGCAGTGCTCGATTTCTTCCTCACCAGCTTCATCGTCAGGGTCTGGTGCACTTACTGGGTGTCTCGACAGGCAATCTGCGACCTTGTGATCGGCACCCGGTCTCC